ATGTACCAGCCATGGAGTAGGAGTCACTCCAGCCATCCAGCTTCTATGTGTGGACCAATGAGGAAGAAGCAAGTGACACTGGCAATGAGAAATGCACCTTGGGATTGAATTTCAGATGCAATGGCTGATGGGATAAGTGCTAACTGGGAGTAGACTGAAAAGAAAGAATTGAAACCATTATCCAGAAACCATTTGACCATTTGTCAAGCAACTCATGGTAAAAATGGGCAAACCATGGTTACTTGTTGTGTTGTGTGAATGCAGTCCATGTTAAGATGTCTGGATGCTTCAGTTAGGCACATCAATATATCTATCCTTAATCCAGGAAACAGGTAAAGACACATAAGTCCTTCTGTTCAGGATACCTTTTCTTAAAATGAGATCTAATGAAGTACGTATGTGGCATCAATCACTGGAATCTATGCCTTCCTTGTAGTGAGCTATGTTATTTCAAAAGGGATGGTTTTCTCTGGGATGGCAACCAGCTCTAGAATGATCTCCCTAAAAAGAGATGTGTGTTGCCTAATTTAAAACCATTTTGGAACCATATTCACTCAAGCATTTTAACTTGGATAAGTTGTCTGTTTGCCTGAATATTGGATACATGTTTTACTGTCAGGTTTTTAAAATAACTGAATATTTAGATTGTGCACCACTCTTAAAATATGTGAATAGAAATAGTATAAAAAGTTTTAAATAAAAAAGAACTGCAGTCTTCACATGTGCAAAAAATGGTGCCTACACTTTATTGTTATGCTCTCTACAGTCTCTTTCCCTCCCCTCTGAACTACCTCATCTATACTGCATAAAATGGCTATCTAGCAAAAATGCAGGGCAAGAAGATGGGGAGGCTCCAATATTTTGTCTGTAAATTTGGAGGCTTTCAGGAAACCTTTTTGGACTGTGCAAAATATATTAAGGTTGCAGTCCTAACTACATTTAGTAGGGTGTAAATTCCAATGGTATTTTTTTCCAAGTAAACATGCACATTTCCCCACCACCACATTTTTGGGGGTATTAAACTTGCTATGTTTACCTCATATATATAAGAGCAGCAAAGCAAGTCACATCTGAACAGACTACAAGGATATCATAATCACAACCATTCTAGTATTTTATTTATTGTATTATTTTTATACTGCCTGATAGTTAATAAATGCTACCAGAACAAGCGGACATGTAAAGCAATCCAAACTTAGACAACAGGCTATCTTGTTTTATAACCTTGAATTGACTGCATCATAGAGGCCTACTGAAATCAAAGGACCCTTATTCATTCTCATATGCTCTCAAACTGTTAGGAACTCATTACGACCCAACTCAAGAGAATATGTTAAAATATGTTGACTGTGCTCAGTTTACTTCTCTTAGTAACACAGCCTTTTGGGACTTTCCTGAGAGTTGTCTTAAAAGAGACTGAAGTCTTTTACCTGACTGACCTATGCCTGCTACCTCATATAAGCAAATGGCTACATCATAATGGGGGAAGATATAATAACAGATTGGTTCAAATTGGATGACTTCCCCCAATTCCCAGTATATTGCACTGTTTGATAGAAAAGCACTTCACCCTAACAGCTCCATCCTGTTTGTTTGTCAGACCTTTCTACTGAATTCTCAGTGGGCTTGTTTCTAATGAAGTGTACATCAGATTGCAGCTTTGGTCCATGGGGCTTAATCTGTAAGAGAAGGAAACAACAATAACAAGGAGGCAGGGAGAGATTCTGCTCTCTAATTCTAAGGGTACCACAGCAGGATGGAGTCATCTGGTGATTACAAAAAGGCACTCCATACATGGTCAGAGAGACCCTGGCCTCCTCTTGGACAGTCCCCACTGACGGAAAAAAAGTGATGCTAAAATTAGCGATCCCTTTCATGTCGCCGATGGAGTGCCTAAGACACAGGCATATGTGATATTTAAAATCTAAGGGAATCATCAAACGCTTAGATTTTCCAAGCCGATGGGGAAAGGACTGGGGTGGGGGCGACGCTGCCATTAGCGGCCCCTGAAGCTGCAGCTGCTCCCCTCGCACTGGCATGTATGAAATCATCGTCCGCGACCATTGTGCAGGCCCCGCCTGCCTGCTTCCCTCACAGGCCCCCACGGTTTAGGGCCTGAGCGCGGCTGCCGAAGAGAAAGCTTCGCACCCACGAAAGCAACGGAAAAGAACGGCTATAATGGCGGCAGCCGCCAGCGCGGCGAAGTCCGCGGCCGGATATGCGTGTCTGGTGCTCTTAGTTGGCGGCCGCCACCGGCGAAGCTGACTCGGCCGGGCCTAGCCGTGGCGGCAGCAGGGCGGCAGCGGCAACAGCAACAGGGGAGGCGAGACTGCGATTCCCCGCCCGGCCATGTAGAGGGGGCCCGCCCCGCTTAGTCCAGCCTGGGAGACAACTGGCCGCCTCAGCGTGAGGGAAAGGAAAGCGAGAAGGGGCGGGCGAGAAAGCGCTGCCTGACGGAGAGCGAAAGAGCCCGAGAGAAAGAGGCGGTGGCACTCCTGCTGCCTTCGGGGGTGAGAGGGTTGTCGGGCCGGGTGGAACCGCGCGGCGCCATGGAGGACATTAACTCCAACGTGAACGCCGACGCCGAAGTGCGGAAGCTGCAGGAACTGGTGAAGAAGCTGGAGAAGCAGAACGAGCAGCTTCGCATTCGCAGTGCTGCCGGGGCTCCAGGCGGCAGCCCGAAACGGCTCCTCAGCAATAACGGCGGCGGAGGATCGGGCGCTTGCACGCCGCCACTGCTCCTGACGCCGCCGCCGCCGCCTCTTGCTGCAACCCAGGGAGCTGCCACTGCCGCCCCGCTGTCGCCTCCGTCGTCGTCTCCCGCCGTCAGGAGCAGCCCGTTGCTGTCGGGTCTTGAGAACCGCTGCCTCAGTCCCAAGGCCGGGCCCAGGCGGCCTCCTTCGAGTGAAGAAAGCGGCGGCGGAGGAGGAAGCTTGGCGGCAGATGTACCAGCAGGGGAAAATGCCAGCCTCCTGGATGAAGTGGAGCCACTGCGGCCCGACGAACTGGAGCGCCTGGCTGGCTGCGAGGAAGACGAGACGGGATGGTGAGAAGCGAGGAGGGGTAGGGCTGGGTGGCGGAGATGTAAAAACACGGCCTGTTATATACCGCTCATGTAAATTTAGCTTTCTGTGGAGATCCACGTAGCTGTACCATAAAGAATACTCGTGATCTTGAAGGGTTAGGGCTGGCCTGCCCATGATACCGGAGCCCAGGACTGGAAGGCTTGACGTTGGTTAGATATTCCTGTTGGGAGCAATTGTTCCTAGAGCCACGGCAAAGAAGGTGTGAGAACAGGGTTCCCTTTCTGGATCTTGATGCAGTAAACTCAGTCTCGTTGGCTCTCCACAGCTTTGTCTTGCACACTTTCATCTCTGGGTGCTAAGGCTTCTTTTGGTTCCCATTCTCTAGAAAATGTTCCAACTTCTCTTGAGGGAATTGGTTTACAAATGGAGAATGCCTTTGTCCCTTCCCAGTAAGCTGTTACTTCAGTGTACTTTTTGTTATAGCAATCCAGAATTATAGCAGTGAAGAAGATCATTCAGATTTGTGGTGAGCCATTTGGTGAGCATTTTTAATTTGAGATCCAGATTAGACTTATCTGGGAACCTATTTCTGCAGTTGCAGAAATGCTAATGATTCACGTCAAGTCATTTACATAGTTATTAGAATAGTGCAATATCCATACATTGTAACCCAAGTTTCTGCATATTTCGGAAAAGATGCTTAAATCTTTTGCTTCCTGCTATGCTGGTACTTTATGTATTGCAAGACCACAGTGAGTTTTGTTTTGCCCTAAGCTGCACTACTTCAGTTTACAAGCACCCAGGCATTTTATCCTTTTCTTGATCAGAGTTCTTGAGAAGATGCTAAGTAGTCGTTTTTCATAGCTTTTAGTTTTAGTGAGACGGAAGCTTGGAAGGAACTGAGAACATTCCTGGAAGATACATTAACAAGAAAAATAAATGTTCTGTAAGATTCCTTGTACCTGCAGTATAAATATTTATTTATACCTTCACCCTACCCCCTAATACTGTATTCTTAAATGACACTCAAAATGGTGGCTAAGGACTGATAAGTCTGTGAATGAAACTATATGAATATATCAACAAAATATTGTTGTCTTATATTTTATACTCTGGTACAGCTACCTGACCACAAAATACTATGTAAAGTATCAGTGGTTCATATGGACATGTATTTTGTAGTTGTATACAAAACTGCTTTATACCAAGTAATACTTATGAATGGTGTGGTGCAACAGTCTAATACAGGGTGTGTGCGCGCGCGCGTGCATGCGTGCACTATATTTAGAAGAGATTATTTCTAAAATAAGTAGCTCATTGGTCCATCAGTAAAAACTTTTTGGAGATAGTGTGTGTCATAGAGGGGAAACATCAGGAACTGTATAGTATATAACTTTTAAAAAAAGTAAAGCAGCTGCAAAAGAGTAGCTGGAATTCAACTGTGGATTTGAAACAAAAGTATAATCAAGGCTATGTGGCTATTGTGTGTCTAGTAATTGACTTAGAAGGTTCTATGGTAGCATAAATAATTCCTGTGTAGTGACCTGAAATGAAACAAAGGATATTGCCTTTTACCAAGACCACTGGTGGATCTGACTCTGTATTATTGCTAGAGACTGGCCACAGGTCTTTAGAGCTTCAGGCAGATGTGTCCCCAGACATGCCTGAAGATGCTGGAGAACTGAAACTGGAATCATCTGCAGGCAAAGCATGTGTGCTTTTTCACTGAGAGGCAGTGCTTCTTCCCTGAACTTCAACTGGATCACTGGTTCTCAAAATTCTTTCCTAGACCCTTCTGACTATGTCTGTATCAAGCCAGGAGGCAGTGCTGACCTTTCCCCCTGCCCACAACCAAACCACTGTAGGAGGTGGAGACCCGTTGAGTTTGATAATCACAGAAGTACCCAGTCTTCTTTCTTCCCTGATGGGCTCCTTTCTCTTGATTCCTATGTTTCATTTTCCCCCTTCCATTTGAACTCAACCTACCTTACCGCAAGAGAGTACACAGATGTATTTTGTGTAAGCTTAGCTAGTTGGTTTGCACTTAGATACACTGGTGTTCAAACAGCAGTTTCTTAGATGTTTCTACATAGCAGATGATAGTGTCAAGCTAGAAAATTCCTTGGAAGTTTAGTACTGCTGTTAGAGATGTGTTACTCTGATCACTATACAACCTGTGCTGATACTGCTAGTCTGTTCACTGGCAAGTTTCCCAATGTGAAAATGCTATAGGGGGAAGCTCATTATGGTAAGCTATGTAACTCCCTTGCTTAAATAAGTCTTTTTTGTTCACAAATGCCAGATATTCTTAGAGCTATTACTTATTTTTAAATTCAAAAACAAAACACTGTTTGCATGTGTCTAACCTAGATAAAATCACAGCTTTAGTAGATTGATAAGTATAAGCAGTGTTCCTCAGTTTTGCAAAATCAGTTAAAGAACCATATGGACTGCTTGAATGCAAGTTGTGTATTTATTTCACGTTATTCCTAATTAACAGAACAGAATTGAAATACCTGCATAGATATATAAGCTATCTCCTTAAAGGGTCATATTTATTCTTCCATATGTATAACCTTCTAATTACATATGCTTATAGTTAAGGTATGGAAGCAAATGTTCTTCCTCTGTCATCGTCAAGAAGATTCGTTAGTAAAATTTGGTTGTCAACATGAATGCAGATAAGCTTATCTTAACTTTATTTTTTTAGCTCTGTGGCAGTGCTATTGGTGTGTATATACTCGGAAACAAGTCTCATTCACTTCACTGAGACTTAATCTCATGTAAGTGAGTGTTAATCTCTTGTACATACCTCAATATGATAGTTTGTAGGACAGAAAAGCTAATATACATGTCTATTGGCACTGTCCTCTGCATAGGATTGCATCCTGAATAAAATTATGAAATTTAATTATTTTGTTATGCTACATTTCAAAGACCAAGAGGAATGTGCAGTACTAGCTACTGAAATTTGTTTTGACAATAACTTCTTCACTTAGATCAGGGTGGTCCAATTTTTCGTACCTTGAGGGCCATGTGAGGACTTTGACACGGAACCTGGGGGGTACACAGTGGATTATATTTCCATATTGTAAATTAAAGTCATCATGATATAGTTATTTGATTTAATATACACAATATATTTAATTAACAATTAAATGAAGGAGAAAACTGATTCAAAGTTTCCAAGTTGGCTTGTCTTTGCAAGGTTGAAGAAACAAAACTGTCTGTGTGCCAGAAAACAGAGGGGAAGAAACAAGGGTGAAATCACAAGCGGCAATCACAAGCATCTCCTTCTCCAACCACAGCCCAGGCACAATAACCACTCCTCTGGAGTGGCCCATCTCTTTCTTCCTTCTTTTCCATGTGACCCCTCCTGGCCTCTCCTTTCTTCTTGGAATTGGCATGCTCCTGCTGAGGAATGCAAAGGTGCGCAGCTTCTGAATGCCTTTGTACTTGTCAGAAGAAGTGCAGCAGGGCATGCTGGGGCAAGCTCTTGCGAGGCTGCCAGCCCAACCTGCTCTCTTCCTGAGCCTCAGGAAGAGAGGAGGATGGGCCGGCAACCTTGGGAGAGCTTGCTGTAACCATGCCTGTGCCATTGCTGGGATCCAGACTCGGGGGGGGGGGGGAATGGGAGCTCTGAACAGCAAGAGTGCTGCAGAACAAGGCCTCTGGGGCTGCATGTGGCCCATGGGCCGCATTTTGGACCACCCCAACTTTGATTATGTTCAACAGTCATATTTGTTTTTGGGTTTATACAAACTTACCTGACAGTAAGTTCCATTGATCTTTGTGTGGCTTACTTTCTGAATAGATATGTGTATGATTAAACTGTAAATTACCTGTGTTCTACTTCATGCTCTCTATGCATCATGTAAATCACCTGTGTTTCTTGTAATGTTATCAGGTCTAGGTGGTGCTTTGGGAGAAAGAAATCAGCATTGGAACGAGAGTCAGTTGTGTCCAGGAGATGGTGGGCTAGTCTGTATTTGAAGCCATGATTCTGCACATTTAAAAAAAATAGTTTGGTGTGTAGGAATTGGCATCTTGAGGACATCAGCTTCTACTTTTTAAACAAAAATTCTTACTCTTGGGACCTTACTAAAATTGAATGGGTAATACCTGATGCAATATCAGAAAACTGGTTGCTATGTAAAGATGGTTATTCAAGCACTGAATAAATTCAGTGTTCTAATAGAAGCAAATTAGGGCTCTCTGTAGTGTATTTGACTGTCCTTTCCTTCCACTTATCAACATGCACTTCCCAGCAACATCTATTCCCAAGAGCAGAGCAATCTGCAAAGCATGGAAAGTTTCATTATGGCATTCTCCCATACCAAAGCGTTATGCTCATAGAGAATATAATTTCACACTTGTGACAACTAATATGGAAAATGCATGCATCCCCTGTGTGATCAGAGTGTTTATTTTTATGATTTTATACTTGAAAAAGAAACTTGAGTGTGGCAACCTGTCTTTGAAATTCACTTGTCAAGTAGGTTCCTCTTTATAATGCCAGGTCTGCATGAAAAAAGTTTTATTCTTACAAGAGTTAAACATTTTAACTGCTTAAATTCTGCTTTAAATTGTTGTTTTATGCTTGTGTTATGATTTTCCTCTGTGTATATAATAGTGGTATATCTTATAAACAACTCTGGAAACTTTCTGTGGAAGATGCTATATTGTATAAATATGCAACATGAAATGCAAATAAGCATATCTAAATTTGCTTGAGGTCTACATGAGTCATGATCTACATGAGAAATATCATCCATGCTTCAACATAGCTATAGTACTCCAGATACTAGCATAGCATGATGCTAATATGGACAGTTTTTTTATCATAGTACATAGGCGATGTGGGGTAATATTACAGTCAATACTGATATTTCACAGCCAGTAAAGAATAGGCCTATTCAAAAACTTAGTGTGATCATACCGCTTCATTTTTATTTATAATATTCAGAATGTCACTATTAACAAGAATGTTTTGTTTTTAGTTTTTAATTTTTATTTTAAT